TTGATTTGATTTAGAAATATTAGATTATATATTTTTGAACTTTTATAGTTTGTCTAACCATGATGTTCTTCATACCCTTAGGAAATTCTCAAGACAATCCAAAATCATATCTCCAATATTTTCATTGTAATATGCTACAAGGTACCACTACTTCTTATACTCTCTCTACTTCACTTCAGGTACCATTTCTTATCCCATTTTAAATTTTGTATCTTATTCCAACTTATCTTCTCATCACAAATTGTTTACTCTTAAATTATTATCTATTTCTGAACCTACATCCTACTCAATTGTTATCTTGGACCTAAATTGGAAAGAAGTTATTGATAATGACCTTCGGTCCTTGATTAATAATCATACTTCAGACTTAACTCCCAAACATGTCATATGATGTAAATGGATCTTTAAACTAAAGTTCCTAGTCAATGACACAATTGAGAGGTATAAAACCCGTCTCGTAACTAAAGGGTTTAACAAAATCGAAGGATTAGACTATCATGATACATCAGCTCTGTGACTAATAAAATGACAACAATAAGACTTCTTCTATTCATAGCTGCCAATCAAAATTGATTTTTACACTAACTTGACATCAACACTTCTTTTTTACATGGCAACTTAGACGAAGAAGTCTATATGAAAATTTCTCTAATAATTTTTAAAGTAAAATTTACTTAATAAATGTTTTGCAAATTAGTTATAGATCTAAAGTCTAGAGATGCATCTCCTGACGCACCTAAAATGCACAGAATGCTTCATAAGTGAGCCATCCACCCCATATCGTCTAAAAATGGTCTGATATGCATCAGCAAAATCACCCCGAAAATATTACAGAGATGCATATCCAGATTAACCCCTAAAAGCACCTTTTGCTTCACAAGTCAGCCATCCATTTGTAAAATAATGGATCAGAGATGAATCTCTAAAATTCGCTTCACAAGTGAAGCCATCCACCTCATCTTTGTAAAACAATGGACCGGAGATGCATCTCCGGAATAACCTCAATAGTTTTTGTCGTGACAACAAGTTTCCCAAATTGATATATTTTTTATCCAATGATGATTATACTAATGATGATTATACTAAGAATATATTAACATCATGCATGCTTGTTATACTAATGCAATTCAAGGATGTCTGATATAAATTAAAGTGATAATACAAATTTAAATGTTACCACGATACAACAGTCACCAAAATAGAAATAAATATAAACTACTAGGTATTTCTAACCCCCTCATGCTTCTCCTGTACCTTTGCTTATACACCAAGACATTTCTTTCATAGAATAAGATGGTATCTATAAGGCGGTCATACCAGAACTACCTTCCATAATGCCTCATGTCGCTATGACATCTCTTGCAATCTGCACAATACGTTAACAAACCAAAAATAAATCTTCTATATGCTAATTCCTAGCTCTCTCCTCTTCTAATATCTCTTGATGAGTAGGTCTAGGTGGTGCTTCCGCAGCATCTGGTGTCAGGTAAGGATGTAACATTCAATAAAACCATTGGATGTAGCTAGGGAGGTGTGGATACATCAATCGCGACCCACAAGCCAACCATTCAGACAATAAGGTTATATAGTCCAAGAGACGTGTCTGGTTGTGGCCTTTGTACGGGCAAAAGCAATGTCATCTGCTATAATGTGGTCAATAAACACTATGTACGAATTTATTGCTTGATTCCATTTGTACGGGGCAAAGACACAAGCACGTTGATAATCCTCAGTGTAGTTCATCTCAGGTTTCCACCTAGATATACGAGGAAAGTGATGGACGATTTACACCAAAAAATGGTTTAGATAAAATATTACTAACAAGTGTAACACAAGTTTGTGAAAATATTAGTAATAATAAAGATTGCGAATAAATTATTGTAAACAATGTGGACCTTCCAATCATCAATCTTGTTACCGTAAACTAACACCTTTAAAGGTGGAAAAATAAGAAAATTTCTTAAAATACCGTATATGTTTCTAATTCGCCATGCAAAATTCCAAAAATGTCCCTTGTTTCAAGAGATATATCTCCGGACATATCCAAATCCATACATTTCATTCATTTTAGAGTCACACCTCAATTTTATAAATAAATTTGTTTCAAAAATATATCTCCAAAAAATTTCCAAAAATATAGTTTCAAAAACTAAAAAAACAGAAATATATCACTTGCAGTAGCTTCATTAAATAAATTAGCAATAATATAAATCCTTTTGTTTAAGATGTTCTTGAAAAAAACAATATACAAACACGACAATTGGTATTTTCGGGTTTAAAATCTTCCAATATGCCTCCAACTTCATCAAATAAATTAGCATTAATACTTACAAATATATGAAATTTTGATTAAGAAATTTTGAAACTACTGCAAGTGGTATATTTTTATTTTTTTAATTTTCGAAAATTTTTTGTAGATATATTTTCGAAATAAATTTATTCATAAAATTGATGTATGACTAAAAAACGAATGAAATGTGTATATTTGAATACATTTTGAGATATATCTCTAAAAACGGAAGATAATTTTAAAATTTCACATGATGTATTAAAAACATATATGATGCTTTAAAAAATTCTCAAAAATAATCCCCTTATCAATCCTTTATTTGTTTCACGGTACGAGCCAGACCCAATAATAACACCTTTGTTGTATCCATTATCTTTGGAGATTTCTTACCCCACCCCTTTGGAGTTTTTAGAATGTCCAATTGCTACAACAATGTAATCAAACTGAGAAGTAAGAGATATGAGTATCTTCTCAATGATCTTTCCATCAGAGAGAGTTTCTCCACACGACTTCATATCATTTGTGATCAGAATCACTATAGAGATGTCGTCAGGTACATTCTCATTGTTCTTCGTGCTGATATTCTCATACTTCCTACATAGAGATTGAAGCTTCACCTTCTTCATTGATGCATCACCGCCATAGCACTGTATTAGAGCATCCCGCGCATCCTTCGCCGTCGTCGAATCAACAATCTTCTCAAACACATTTGCATCCACACACTGATGGATGTAGAATAACGCCTTTTGATCCTTCTTCCTCAGATCACGGTGAGCATTCCTCTGCGCATCCGTTGCATTCGCCGAAAGTGAAACCGGAACGTAATTGTCATTGACGAGATCAAGAACATCTTGAACGCCAAATAACACACACATTTGAATCATCCAGCGATTCCAATTCTTGCCATTAAACACTGGAATCTTAGTGCTCAGATTAGCGTTTTCGTTCATCTTCAACCTTTTGCAGTTCACTCAGATCTCACGAAACACTAGTGTTTTCCAATCCCGCAGAATCAAGAAATGTGATTTTGTTACCATTTCTATAAAAAAAATTCAACATGAATTCAAGAAACGAAATCAATCACACAACGCCTTACCGATCACTCGTGTTTCCTTGTGTTTCCCTGTGAATCTGAACCAGTTTCTGATACCAATTGTTATTACACAAGATAAAGAAGATAAAGATGGAAGAAGAGAAAGAAATAATAAATTTTCACTACTTTTACAAGACGGTTACAATGAATAGTTACACCACTACTTATTTTACAACTATTAACAAAATGGCACATAAAAAAGGATAATCTACACTAACTAGATTATATTTAAAATAAAATAAAAAACTAATGCTACTCCTAAATATTAATTACTTCTAACCATAATATGCATTTAATTAGAAGTTCATCAAACATTATACATTATAAGTATTTTTTCAAACTCGGTCGCTTCTAGATTTTTTTTTGACAAGATCGCTTCTCGTTTTAGAAAACATATTCTAGAGGAAAAGCAAATTAACAAAGCATTTTTCATCAATATTAATATATTACTTATTAGTCAATAAAATCTCAATATTCTTACAAGGAAAATGTTGAAGTTGATTAAAAAAAACTCTAATAATCATAAACAATTCAATAGTATTTGTCAATTAATAATTATGAATAATATACAACTAATTTCAATTTTTTTTATAAAATAAAAAAATTTCACAATTTTTAAAGAGTTTATAATAAGAGATAATTTGGAGAGATGATAAAATCTAAATAAATGAAAATAAAATTAATTTGGGATTTTCGGACAAATGGCGCAAACTTTTTCTAAGAAATTCAAATGACAAATTACATATAAATATAAGTATTATTGTCTAAAGTCAAAAATTCTGTAGGGTCTTCAAATTATACATATTAAGTATAAATTTGTATTACATATCTTTAAAATAAATCATAACATTTTAAAATAGTCACTTTAATTATTTAAAAGAAAAATCATATTTTTAATAAAAATTTAATTACATCAGATTTCAATACAAACAAAAAAATCAAGGAGGTCAATATATTTAAATAAATATTTAAGTTACTTACTATATGAATCTTAGCCAAAATTATACTCAAATAAATACTAAATTTATTACAATTCAACTAATATTACTAAAATAATCTTATAAATAATAGGTACGGAATAATTACATGATTTAAAATACAATAAATAAGAGTAAATTAGTGAGAAAAATTATAAATATTACATTCGTATTTTAAAAAGACAAATAAAAATAGAAAAGAGTATATCTATTATAAAATAAATATGAAGTAGTATCTATTTTAAAGAATTAAATTTAAAAGAAGAAGGAAAATAAAAATTGAATTAATGTATAGTATAGGGTTAGTGTTGACATTTGAGAACCTCAAAAACGACAAAGAAAGATTTGAAAGAAAAAAAAAAGTAAAAATTAAATGTATTTAGTCTATGTTTTGTATAAAATGCATATGACTTTTAATTATTTAAAAAAAAATTCTTATAATTTACAAGAAAATAAAGATTGGTCACAGAAAATTTATGAATTTAGTCCAAATTCTGACTTAAATACATCCAAATATTTTTGATAAATTTTAATTATATTGAAAACAAGAGAAATCAAGCCTATATATTGATGAGAAATATGGAATATAATAGTGCTAACCAGTGACAAAAATTAACTTCTCCAATCAAACAAAGTTAATATGATGATTGGACGATTCCTCAAGTTCTTTGTGAATCCATCCCCAAAACAATGGTCCTTTCTTTCTCTTAGATACCAAAAATTTCAATCTGTCCCCTTCATGTCTGTTTCTTCTTCAGCTGGAAAAATCACTGCAGCAAGTACCAATTGCAAATATGGAGTCAACACTTTGCATACTTATTCAGCTGTTGAACTTTCTGAAAAGCTAGAGGCTGAGGATTGTATGTGGACGAAGATGCAAGAAGAAGCTACAGTTGATGTCACTGTTGAACCTATTTTGTCCGGTTACTATCATGTTTCAATTTTTTCTCATAGATCATTGGAAACTGCTTTGGCTAATCTCTTAGCTGTTAAGTTAAGTAGTGTAAGTCTTAGTAGTGCAACACTTTATGATCTTTTTGTTAGAGTTTTAGAACATGATGCTGAAATTATGGATGCTGTGAAAAATGATATGAAAGCAGTTAAGGAAAGAGATCCTGCTTGTATAACTCATGTTCATTGTTTCTTGAATTTCAAAGGCTTTTTGGCATGTCAAGCTCATAGGGTGGCTCATAATTTATGGTCAAATGGAAGGAAGGTTTTGGCTGTTATAATTCAGAATCGAGTTTGTGAAGTTTTCGGAGTTGATATTCATCCGGGAGCGAGGTTCGGAAGTGGAATTCTGTTCGATCACGCGACGGGGATCGTGGTGGGAGAAACTGCTGTGATTGGGAATGATGTATCAATTCTGCATGGTGTAACATTGGGAGGAACTGGTAAAGCTGGTGGTGATAGGCATCCAAAGATTGGTGATGGAGTGTTGATTGGTGCAGGAACTTGTATTTTGGGGAATATTAAGATTGGTGATAGTGCTAAAATTGGTGCTGGTTCTGTTGTGATTAAGGAAGTGCCTCCAAGGACTACTGTTGTTGGGAATCCTGCAAAGTTGATTGGAGGGAACAACAATCCTATTAAACATTATAAGATTCCTAGCCATACTATGGATCATGTTTCTCACATTTCTGAGTTTTGTGATTAAGTTATTTAGAGTTTTCTTGTCAAAGAATGATTTGCATTTTCATGTTTTGAAGTTGGGATTGAGTGTCTTAGATTGAGAGTTATTGTTAGCTATGCAAGAGAGAGTCTTAGTTCTATTGTATTGCATATGCAGAATTTAAATAATATTTCATATATACAATTAAAATTTAGAATAATATGTTCCTATAATAAATTTCAAATAATATATAATTTTAACTAGTTTTTTTAGAATATATTTGTTTTTCAAAAAGAAAACAGAAAGTCATATTTACAGACTTCTAACCTTTAGCATTTAATGTTAAAATTAAATATATTGTATTTTTTTTACCAATGTACTATAATTTTTTTTTTTGAAGTAAATAATATTGCTTTACAACAGATAAAATGGATACGGCCATGAGTAAGGAAAATTAGCCATAAAAATTAGTGGATATGGACGCGAGTACGACTATCTTAGTATCAGCTCAGTTTTATGATATACAATATTATTTATATATTTTTATTTTTACTGTTATATATACACGATTTTGTTAAATACATCACTATTAAACATGTACAGATTTTAATATAAATATTTATTTATTTTTTAACTCAACAATATCATTCTTAAATTTTTTTAATGTTGTTAAAATCTTGAAATGACATGAAAAATTATAATTGATATATTATTTTTTATTAAAAATATGGATACACAGGTATGGGTACATGTATTTAAGTATTCATAGGGTACGAATACAAGTACAAACGTTGGTGCCCACGCAATAATGGATTTGGGTATCGAGATTTTTTCAAACCATACTTATTGAGATCAGTATTATAATATCTTGTCCAAACCTTACTCATTGTCATTCTTAATAGTGGCTGAAACTCAACTTTTAAAAATAAATAAGTGAGGTATCGCAGATTCGAACCTAGTGATGTCCTGCACAATTATTAAGTGAGTTGATTTAAAGGAACTATAAAATTATATTTTAAATATATACTAAAATTTATACATAAATAGTAGCAAACGGACAACAAGTAGGCTTTTGCTATTTTTTTAAATGACAAAATCAATCATTTTAACAATTATATTTATTATTTAATTTAAAAAGCACAACATTATTATGCATAAACTCTTATATAATATAATATTTAAATTGTGAAAATTTAAAATTTTAAAAAAATATTTTTTAAAAAATTGATTTATAAAGTATCAATAATTTATTTACATTAATACATAGTTAAAAAATATAAATAAATACTGCTAGGAAAAATTAAACCATTGACCAATAACTCACATTCATCTAACTAATATATAAACTATATATAATTTCAATGACTATATTTTTAATTAAATATATATTTACTTGTAAAAAAAATCAAAAAGTCATATTTATAGATTTCCAGACTTTAGCATTTAATGTTAAAATTAAATATATTTTATCTTTTGTTATATTATATATCTAAAAACTAACATAGGTTAACACTCATTATTTTTGGTTACATATGATTAAAAAAAAGACATGTGGATTATATAATGATATTATTTAATAATATTCTATTTAATTACTGTAATTCAAATTTTATTTTAATAAAATCTAATATATTTTATTGTTATTTTTTCATCCTCCATTTTTTTGTTAATTTTGTTTTTGCTATAAAGGGAGGTCTAATGACCTAAATAATAAAACATAAAAAAAAAACTAACAAAAAAAACTCTACCAAGGCTTGAGAAGATTTTTTTTTAAAAATAATCATATATTAAATTTAAATTACCACAATAATCAATAATTTAAAAAAATTTCCAAAATGACAAACATTTCCAGCCAATTCGCCATTTGGATTGGCGAAAGAGAAGAAATGAAAAATGAGTTTCAGCCAATTCGCCGTTTGGATTGGCGAATTAGTTCATCCTTTCCAACCAATTCGCCGTTTGGATTGGCAAATTAGTTCATCCTTTCCAACCAATTCGCCGTTTGGATTGACCAATTCGCCGTTTGGATTGGCGAATGCGTTTGGCTTCAATTGAAACATTGTTAGTTTGGGAATTTGTTTGAAAACAAGGTTTAAATGGTAATTAAATTATAAAAAGTTGTTATTTTAAAAAAAAATTCGCTTGAGAATGTAACCTTGGTATTCTCATTAATAATAATAATTTTCAATTATATTTGATTAATCAATTTGCACAACGATCCTTCATACTGTGTATAGTTTAACTTATGTGGCAACCGTTTGAGTCATTTTTCAAATTCTACACACGAAAGTTGAGACTCTAAAGTCACTTTAGGCCATTAGATTTGTAATTTTCTCTTATCAAACTAGCTCAATCTAATGCAATATTACCCACATTTCAATAGTGAAAGTATCATACCAACTAATTTTTCGTGTATATCATTTCACTCAATTTTTTTAAGAGTCTCTTGAATAAGCATCCACATATATTAAAGGATGTAGAGATCTTGCAAGTACCATTAGAATCAAACTTAATGCAAACATTTTTTATCTCTGATCTCAAAAACCCAATATTTTTCTAAACATTGTTGTCATTCTTGATCTATTTCACCACATGCATGATTATTTATGTTGGATTGTTAGAAAGATGAAAGTCCTATTTAAAAATAGGTTTTCTTCTTCACTTTCACAAGTACTAACAAAAGATCATAAAGATTTTACCTCAAGTGCACTTTGATAAAATTTGCAGTATCTTCTCTAATATTGTAAGAGATCCAATTCCGGTAAGAAAAAAAGGTAAAACTGAGTCATTTCATTAGACGGAGGTGGTCTAATCTATTACTATGTTGCATTAGAACAATCATGTAACCCATGAAACAAAGTTTTTTTTAAGTGTTTGTGCACCAGCTGCAGCAAGCGGGGATTGATGGGTTCCACTTGTTATGCCTATAGTTTTTCAAAAGTCGCTCATGTACCATAAGCCAAGGTGAACTTTTAGATCCGATGGAGTTCTTTAAACTTTCAAATGATATTCTAGTTAATACTAGTAGTATTAGTAGTTGGAGATGAAGAAGTATATTTCCAAGCACACTAACATAAAATTCAATATATCTATTATCACCTAACCCTAACTTGTTTGCATCATCTTCAAAAAGAGGGAGAAGAATAACAAAAAACTAATTATCTATCTAAACAGTGAACGAGTTTTGAAACTAATCAAGGTTCCACTTCCCCTCCCTACTAAAAACTCTATTATTGTCAAGGTAGTATCCAAAATCATATCAAATTGTGCGAAATTGAAAAGAAAAAGGTTGCTTTGTGGGAATCCAACAACCAAGGCAAAAATTAACTCTCATCCCATCCCCAAGTTTCTAAGTAATTTTTTTAAAAAATTGTGATCTGACCTGATCAGGAGGGATCACGGACTGGCCACGCTTCGCCGGACGGTTATCTGTTCGCCGAGGTAAGAACGAGGAAGGGGTGTACCTGCAAAGCACTCCGACGCCCAAGTAAGAAGTTGGACAGGGAGGAAGCAATAGTACAGAAAAAGGGGGGCAAGAAGAGTTACCTGACCCTCTTGAAGAAGAGGGTATTTATAGAGAGACCCCAGCGCTGGGCCAACGGTCATTCGAGGTGGGCCAGACGACCAGGCCCAACCCTAATGACTGCTAGGGCTTACGTGGCGTAGTGAAGACCAGGACGTGGTCTTCGCCCTAGTTCAACCGCTCCTAGGTCTCCGGAAAGTGGGTTTGACCTGCTCTTTCGGAGGGGGGCGGTTGGCCGATGACGTGTCCCCGCGGAGGGGAGCACGTGGAGAACGTGCGCCGAGCACATTATTCTCCCGCGGAGGGAAGCGTATGGATAACGTGCGCCGAGCACGTTATTCTCCCGCGGAGGGAGCCCGGGTAGTCTCGCTCGTCTGGTGTGACGGGCGACGAAGGGGATGCGGCGTGATGGCTTGTGCCCGGCGGACGGTCCTGCTCGTCCGAAGGGGCGTGTGCCAGGCGTGCCCAGTTCGCCTGTTGGGCCGTATTTGGTATTGGGCCTGCCGAGGTGAGGCCCACACCGGAACAGGAGCCCCCCAAGTCGAAGCTCTGGGGAAGAGCGAGGACTTAAGGTCGTCATGTCTGGAGCGGGGGACTCGTGCGAAGGGCTCCGGTCGTCGGTAGAACGGGGAGGAGGCAGATGGAGAGACGCGACTGTCAGGCTGCTTCCACGTGTCTTGCGTTGAGCGGTCGTAGGGGCGGCTAACCTATGTCATTAATGAGCCTAGGGTCGCTTCGAGCCTCGCGCCGGGTTATAAATATGGCGGTCCCCGCTCATTCTGCTACTTTTCTCCCTGTTGATCTTTCATCGTCTCTGCCCGTCCGCCGTTCGCCGCCGATCAACGCCGTGCCATTCGCTTTTTCTTCCGTCCGCCGCCGTTACAAGTGAGTTCCTCTTCTCCCTCTCTTTTATTTTCGTCGTCTGACTGGGACGTGTGGTCGGGGCGCGATGGGCGCCCCGAGGAGGGATGCGAGTTCCGCCGCGTCTGGCGAGTTTCCCGATGAATGTCCCGGGGACGGTAGGCTAGTTCCGATGAATGCCCCGGGGACAGGAGCTTTTTCTGATGAATGCCCCGAGGACGGGGGCTTTTCTCCGATGAATGCCCCGAGGACGGGGGCTTTTTCTGATGAATGCCCCGAGGACGGGGGTTTTTCTTCGATGAATGCCCCGAGGACGGGGGCTTTCTCTGATGACTGCCCCGGGGAGAAGTATCTTCTCCGACGGCCGCCCCGAAGGGCTGAGGGGTCGTTCTTCGATCCCCGAGGAGGGTAGGCGGGGAGCGAATGCCTGCCCGCCGCCCCTCGGCCTTTGTCGCCCTTTCACTTGACTTGCGGTGGAAGGGTGGATTTGATCCTGGCTATCGAATTCACCGAGGTCCTCTGCTTTCAGGTGTAGATGTCGGCTCTGGTGCCGGGGATAATGGTTGAAGATGATGAACCCGAGGTCCCGGAGTATGACGACGGGCGCGTCTCCTTGCCCGAGGAGTGGGCGGCCGAGGAGCCACTTACCATCCCTTCTTGT